CTTTTCAATCTTTTCGTCCCACATTAGCTGAAAAGATGTGGTGTTGCTAACTTCATACGTGACTGTATTATCGAACTTGCAAGCTGCTTTATACGAACCTATAAGCGTTGGTAGAGAATTAAAATAAAGTTCACTGTAAATGCTAGTCATGGCTAAAACTTGTAAAGTGCTGCGAAAACGTGTCAAAATGATTTTCCACAAGTTCGCTGAAAAAGTCGTCTTTCGGACATCTTATCATGGCAGCGCATTCTAACTGGTGGGCGCGCTCTGTTATTGGTCAGCTTCGTTTTCGCGATGGCTGGTTAGCCAATAAAGCGATGAAGGGCAGAGTTTGAAGTCACACCAATGCTAATGTCACCAAAGTGTCATCTGCATTACTGTAACATTTTCATGGGAAAATCATCACTAAGATTGTCGCACGTACTTTTCCTATAGTTTATCTTTGGATGATTTCGCAGGATAAATCAGAAAAATTTCATATTTTCCGTCGAGCACATTTTGAGATATCGGTAAGTCTTTCTCTATGCTCTGATTCCTTGCAAACCTTATAAGGGAACAGCCGTATTCGGCTTGCTTCCGATATATCGCTGGGAAGCTTGGCGATACCTAGGCCAAACTGAAGGAAAAGCAAGGCGACGTGCTCCATGGTCAAGCGACAAAAGCGGAAAAGTTCCTGAAACGTTTGATATATGCTACCTACCGATACTGCATGATGATCCGAAAACTCACAGCCGTTAGCCATCTTTTCAGAACAAAAAGAACGTACATAAGCCGCGGTCCGTACGCGATGTTATATCTATAAATATCCTTAGACGAATACCGTACGTTACAGTAATTGGCCAGCCCAAACCTTTGCACAAATTCGCACTCTTCACAAATATCGACACAGAACACTTCATATTCGTCAATGTTTTTCTCAATATCACTTTGTATTTCGATCGCAAAGCGATCAGCAAGAGGGTGCGTTGACGGTGCAGTGGCACCTTGCGCGAGCATCTACAAAATCCAAATATCCTCTTCTCAAAGTAGCCTGTTAGGAAACCACCTTGTTCCTCTTATACGAACATAGTACATCCCAAACCACCCATGGAAAGCTGAGAGAAGGGGATGACGGGCGAAATCGTGGATCGTCATCGTAGCAAACTTTGTACCTACAAAAGAAGCTCGCATATTGTCGCAATCGCACAAATAGCCACAAAAAAGCCAAATCTTGAATTGAAAGAGGCATTACGGAAGAACATGAGTTGAGTCAACTCTACTTGCTCGCATATGTTTTTTGATGTGCGAGACATTTTCTGCTAAGGGTTAGAGATTTTCTCAACTCAATGTCTTCAAGTAGCTTACTAAACTAGAAGTTTTGCAGATGATTATTTGACTTTGTTACTAAACTAATTTTATCGTCCACCACTTATTATTGGTGCTGGTTTTACGAAAAGTTTAATGTGAGTTTCCTTAACATAGAGCAATGCAGGCTGATATGCTAATCTTAGTTGCTGAGAGATCAAGAGAAAAATTAGTCAATAATTCTCGGACGGTGATTGATGCAAGCTCTATTCTTTAATAATTCTAATCTCAAATTTTATGGCTAAGATTCTAGATTTCCTGCTGAGTCCGAGCAATGACTATAATAACCTGGAAAGTGTCTGTGGATGGGAACTTGTCTGAAAAAAAAAGAATTGAAAAGCAAACCACTGTAGCGCTTTCATTTCCATGTTTTCGTCACTTCGCAGGCTTGCTTTTCCAGAAGGATCCCGTTGATAAACAGCAGTTTCTCCACCAAATTCCTGGAAGTAAGAAGGTGTGCTTGGGGAAAGCGACTTATGAATTTTGGGGTAGAGCAACAGAATTTCATCCAAAATGGACGAGGCAGTAGCGTTTCCAACAAACTTTTGTTACAAGCTAACAGTTTTGAAAATTAACAAGAATGATAATATCCATTTTCAAAAAGGCCACCAGCACAATTCATAACTTAGGCAGAACATTTATGGGAAAGCTTCTCAACTTCGGAAGATACTTAT